GTGTTCTTATGTTCTTAACAAGGTGATGTGGTATGGGGTGTAGTAAGTCACACAATTGGTCATGATTTCTTCTGTGTGCGATTTGTGATTAAGGCTTATTTCTGAAACCCTGTTCTCATCTGATTATTATGTGTATTTACTCATAAGGTAGTCCATTTTCTGGTTCACATTTTAGCTTTCATTTGTAGGTATCGTCATAACTTGGCAATGCATAGCAATGCCAGAGACCACATTTGTGTAGTTGATAGTAATTAAAACACAATGTTCTATCACTTCTGACCTGTTTGGGTTGCAGTTAGTATTTGATCATTTAGGCAAAGTACAGTTTGGGAAAATAGTGTCATTGTTATAGATGTACCTGCAGGGCTTTTTTTGTTCTTTACATCAGTGGTTTATTCTTAGCATGTATAACTAAGATCAATATATTTATGTGTGCAGATTATTTTCTTTAAAAAAACAATTCTTTAGGTAATTTTAATCAGCTAAATAGCTGATGATTTTTGTCTAGTTGCCAGTGAGGCTGGGCTTTCTCACTTCCTACTTCACAAACATAATGTGTGCTTCTTTATACTACTGCCCAATATCAAAATGTTTTTAAAAACATTTTTTTTAAAAAAAAAAATTTAAACATTTTTTTAAAAGGGAAAAGCAGTCTGTGGATATTGGGGAGCGGGAGGCAACTGCTTTCCTCCCTGTGCCAGTAATATTGCATCTCAGCAGAAGGTGCAGATGGATAGCATTTTGATACCCTCAGTCTCCTCATATTAAATGGTTTCTGTTTTTTTCTAAATGCTTGTAGAACTAGAATACCTAGGATATACTCACAGTGGATGGAAATTAATTATGAAACATCTGCATATTTGTTTTCTGATTTTATATTTCCCACTGATTTTATTAATGGCTGAACAGTTTTCATAAACACCTCCAGAGTTGTCTGAATGTTGGTTCTTCTTGTGTCTGTGTTGAAATACAGTATTTTGACTACAGCATTTTATTGTGCTTCTTGCTTGGGGTATCTTGAAATCTCATGATAAAAATGAACATGCCAATATAATTTAGGCCCCGTTCACACGAGGTGATTTGGCCCGGGAACGGGACAGTTTGGGGCCGGATCAAACCGGCGCGATCACACCACAACATCTGGGAAGCATCTTGCTTCCGTGGCCGAACTGTCCCTTTCCCGGGAAAATGCGCCTCAAACTGAACCACCTACCTCGGTGGTTCAAATGGATGAGGCGCCTCTTCCCGGGCGTCTGATCGCCGGCGCGTCTTTGCGCCGGCACAACCCCGGCCCGGATCCGAACTGCGCATGCTCCGACATGCGCAGTTCGGCCGGCCCCCGGTTAGGGCCGTCTTTTCTCCCCGGCGTTTGATCGCGCCGGGGAGAAAAGGCGGCTCGGCCGGGGATCCGTGGGATCCCACCGAGCCGTGTCAACGTTGGCGCGGCTTTTAAAAGCCGCGCCTCAAGAGGCTTTTCCCCTGCCGTGTGGCAGGGGCCTTAGATAGTCTAGTTCAAGATGTAAAGTTATTCAGAGCCAAAATGGTGGTGGTTTTCCTAGGAAAAGACAGAACTTTTCCATATTACAAGACTGATAGAACATAACGGAGGCTGCAGTCCTATCTATGTCTTGCTAAGCACAGTGAGACTTACTTGTGAATAAAGATGCCTTGGATTTTGCTTTGTTTTACATCTTATTTCATCTACAAGATGTATGCTAAAAAATTATGAAACTATGTAAGTGTCCATAAGTTATTTTCCTTTGTTCATTTTGTGTTGCTTTTGAAGCCTGGCAGACTTCCCTACAAAAAAAGGAATATTTTTTGAGCAGCTAGTGAAGTGTGAGATCTATTTGAGAAAGAAATGGAGCAGGCATGCCAGGATCAGACAGATTCTAGAAGGTAAAGTGTTCCATTGGTAGAGAGCAGTAAGGGAGAAATGGAGCTCCAAAGGAATGGAAGACATACTTGGGGAGGAAGATAGTGGCCAAGTGACTGGTGCATGGCCACGATTGCCATGTGTAGGATGAGTGACTGACATTCATTCTCCTCTGCCTTCCCTGACCTTTGCCATTTTTGTTCTATTTCACATAGGAAGCTTCTGTATATTTAGGTGAGCTTGTTTCCTTTGGCTTGCAAGATTTTTTTCTTTCTTTTGTGGTTCTAAACATTTGGCTTAGAACTATTGCACTGCTTCTCTGTGGTAATAATCTTTGTTGTTGTTGTTGTTCAGTCGCACAGTCGAGTCTGACTCTTCGTGACCCCATGGGTCACATTATGCCAGGCCCTCCTGTCCTCCATTTAAATTTCAGGATGGCACTGAAGGCCTTGCCATGGAAAGAGGGATGAAACTATGATAAATGCTGTGGATTATCCTTTTGGGAAGGAGTAGCTCACTAGTATACAGATATGGTTCTCCTGCACTTTCCACTTAATTCAACAGTAGTTAAAATAATAAAGTTTCTCCCCTGTGCAGTCATACTGATAAGTGCAGGAAGCAGCTGTAATGTGCCACATAGAATACAATTTCCCCAGTTTGGAAATGTCAATAGGTTTTAGATTTGTGTATTAAAATGTATGCAATATCTGGTCATATTCAACTAATTAGATTTCAAAACTTTTCAGAAGGCATACGGATGTATACTTTTAATCTTCAGCAGTAGCACTTAAATTGTTTTTAACTAAACTACAATCTGGCCTCTGACTCCATCATTGTTCACTTCATATAAAATGATGGCAGCCAAGGGCCTGTTGGGACTGATACCGTAGGAAGTTATGGAAATTTACACTCTTAATAATTCAAGGAAGGGTTTTGGTAAAGGGGAAAGAAAGTATCCTATGTGTCTGTTGCTACTTTAGAGTAACATACTTCCTCCTTTGTTGTGTTGGCACCAATTTAGCTGTGTCTGGTCTTGTTAGAAATTATGAAACCAGACATTTATGAGTTTTCCAAGCCATTTAAATTTCCTCTAGACAATCACCTTATTTATCTGCGGCACTGAACACGCATACTGTGATGACAGCTGTAATGACTATTTACATCAAATTTCAGAACAGCTACAGTATGAAGGAGCCATAGTTTATTTTCATTTGGAGAATAATCTGCAATGAAATCAGCAGTGTGTTTTCTTATCCCAGCCTTTGACATCTTTAATGCTTTTTACCTAACCTGTCACCATGAACTTCAACTTGTAGCAATCCTCAGTCAGTACAGAAGAACTTGGTGGAATTCTACTTTTGTTTCTCATGAAGCTTCTTCTGTCAGTAGAACAAGCCCTTGTAGAAATACTGTTCCTTAAAGCTGAATGTGTTTTCATTGGTTTATGTGTATGTAGGATTACACAGATAGCTTGCGAAGTAGTGGTAGTTGTACAGGCTTTTGAATACAGTGGATTCTTAATTGAGATGCACTGAAGCAAAAAAGACTTTTATCTAAGAGTGCAAGCCATTGTATTTTGTTAGACATTGCAATATCTACTGCAGTTTATGAGCATAATATCTCAGTATTAGCAAACTCAAATTAGCTAGGCTCAGGTGTGTAGTGAAGGCTAAACTTACACACTAATGCTGTTTTGAAGCTATAAACTTACAGAGCAGTGACTGCTAAAATTTTGGATTTCAGACTCGCTTGGTAAAATGAGAACATGATTTCTCATGATTGCAGCATGACTGAATGTCTAGAAATAGTGAAATACTTGGATTAGTTAAAGTAAGCAATCAGATGAAAATCACTTTTTTCTTATATCACAGCTAGATGAGCTAAATGTTCTTACGTAGCTATGGTCTTCCAAACACTTTATTCAAAATTATATAGGTATAAGAACATTCTTAGAGGGGAAGTTTAGCTTTATGGTCCAGATGCCAAACACACCCTACTTTTAAAATGTAGTTTTATAGCCACTTTTATGGCCATAGTTAGCTTGGCTGCTACTCAGTGGATGTAAGGGAGCTGCATTAGTATTTGTATTGTACCCTGGCCATCTGAGCCAGCATACGCTTGTGAGTTCTTGGGAAGAGGTGAATGATAGCTCTTTGTGAATTGTAATAGCAGCCATAAAAAAAAGAGCCTGTGCTGCTATGTGTGTTTTAGTAGTACAGCTTCTAATATGAAAACGTGGAAACCTGAGCCTTTCAGGTTGTGCGTACTTTATTGTATTATAAATGTAGCCATTATGGTTGCTTTTAAAAGACAGTAGTTAAACTTTAGAGGAATTGCCATATTAAACTTGCAGTGAAAATGAGTATTGTGGCACCTTAAAAACTTGCATGTGTGTGCTCACAGATAACCACAAGCAGTGTTCCCTCTAAGCTGAGCTTAGTGTGAGCTAGCTCACAGTTTTTTAGCCTGCAGCTCACAGATTTTTGTCTTAGCTCAGGAAGGATAGCTCCAGAGCAAACTAATGTATGCAGTAGCCAGATCTCTCACTCACAACTTTAATGCCATTAGCTCACAAAGTAGTATTTTTGCTTACAAGACTGCACAGCTTAGAGGGAGCATTGACCACAAGCATTACAAATATAAACCAAGAGATGGGGGGGAGGGGGTTATACACTGCTACAAAATGAGACCAAAAGACCTAGCAGTGCAAGAAGTGGAATACAGATAAAAATGAGATCTCGTGATTGCATGAACACATTAAACCACGTCTACTCTTGCCTGTCAGCAGCTCTCTGGGGTCTTGGGTCCAAGTCTTTTGCATTGCTTGCTATGTGATCTTTTTAATTGGAGTTGACAGGTTTTGAACCTGAGACCTTCTACATTGCAAAACTACTGAGCCTGATCCCCACGTCAGAGCTACAGACAAAAGAGCAAAAGATCCAATCTGAATAGGTGGGACCTATTACCAAATGATGATCAACTGGTAAAGCGACATGAAAACAGTTACTTTTTGTAATGAGTTATTCTGTGGTCCTGTTGAGCTTAGACTACATGTTGCTGATGGATGGATGGATGGGGTAGAGCATATATATATATATAACTAGTAAACTTCTTGCTTTTTCAGGTGTTCAAGATGAATCTAGAAAAGCTCAGCAAACCTGAACTACTGACACTATTCAGCATTCTTGAAGGGGAACTAGAAGCCCGAGATCTTGTCATAGAAGCCTTAAAGGTATGCTGTACTGGTACAGAGCTGAAATGCTGCAGTGCTGCTTTAGGTGCTTCCCTTCATTTTTGTCTGAAGATAAAGTTAAGCAGTAATGATTTTAGTGGTGTTGCAGTTTGGATTTTGCACTAGGTGTTTATATTTTCACATTCTTTGTCAAAAGTTGACTCCAGGTATGAACAGTTCTGTGGTTGAACATCTTGGATGTTACAAATGTAAGATAAATATAAGGTTATCATATCTCAGTTGGAGTTGTACTCTATCAGAGAAGAGTGATGGGACTTGAACTTCTTGTTCTAGCAGTCATGTTTCAACAAGTTTCTGTAAAGAAATCCTGAGGAACAGCAATCGTACTGCTTTCAGTAAGCTGGAATGGTGATAGAGATTCTTCTTCTGGGTTCCTAACTAAATTTTTGTCAGTCCGTGAAAGTTACCATGTTTACCCTGTGCAATTTTTGGCTATGGTTAGGATATGTATGTGCATGGGTTGGTCTACTACTTTTTGGGGAAAGAACACTAACCATTTCATGTGATATTAATCCACTCCTCCAGGGTTTGCCAGACTCCAGGTGAGGCCTGGAGATCTTCTGGAGTTACAACTGATTTCCAGACTACAGCGATCAGTTGTCCTGGAGTAAAGGGCTGCTTTGGAGGGTAGACTGAATGGCACTATATCTTGCTGAGGTTCTGTCCTCCCTCCCCAGGTACCACTCCAAATCTCCTTGAATTTCCCCAGCTGGAATCAGCAGCCTTTCCCCTCCTAGCCGCCACCTTTTGCATGTTCTGTGCTGCAATGTAGTCAGTGCTGACTTGGTGTGTGTGTGTTCACATAACCACCCAAAGAATAAACAAGAACAAAAAGCCGTAAAACTTATATTCAGGCTAGTTTGAGTGCAAAGATGAATAACAAGGTATAGTTGGTTCTGTGCCATGGACTATATTTTGGCATCATGTAAACTGTAACTTGATTAAACTCTGGTTTAGTGATGTCTAAATGGGGGTTAGCAAACTAGCTTGTTGCTGGGATGCTAAATTGAAATTATAAACTATTGCTTGTAGCTGTCTTTAACTGTGGTTTGCATTGATGGCAGAATGCAGAAATCTCAGTTTGTTCTGTAGTGCTGTGCATCTTAACCTCCTCTCTTCAGAGAGGGAGGTACAGACTAACAGAAGACCTTGCTGTTCCAGCTGCATTCAGCTACTGATGGTGCTTTTTCAGGACACTCCTTCCTTCCGCATCTCTCCACAGACACCCCGCCTCCAACCAGTGATGAGTCACTAAGCAGGAATGTGCTTCAGAGACTTCAGCCTCTCCTGAGGGGAAACGTAAAAGGCAGCAAAATAGTAGGGGAAGGGCTGCTGTGAAAGGTTGATTTTTGAGTTTAAAATGCCAGAAATCAATTGAAATAGCTAGAGCTAGACTTTGGAAGGGATGCTGAAGATCCTTAGCCAATAACAAAGGAGGAAATTTAGCTTGCCCTAGGTATCTTTCTTTAAATATTTATTATATCCTACCATTCTTGTGGGTCAAGATGTCTTACAAATCCTAGTTAAAACCATACAAAGTAACTCCCCCCCCCCGCACATGCCTGCTGTGTTTACTCCATTAAAAGCCCAGGCAAATAAATTGGGCTTGGAGCATCTCTTGAATATTTCTAAACATTTCTGTGGCCCTCTCAGAGAGCCTATTCTACAAAAATAGATTTACAATGCAAAAGGGAAGGGGTGCTCTCTGTTTGATATCAGGTGGGCTACTTTAAGTGTTGGGAGTAGCCAGTAGGTGTCAGCCTAAGACCCATACAGAGATGTATGGATGGAGACAGTCTTTTAAATATGCAAGTCATAGGCTGCAAAGGGCTTTAAAGCACCTTGAACTCAACTTGGAAACAAACTGACAGCCCACATGGCTGCCTTAGGAGAGTGGAAAGATGTTCCCGTATTCTAGCCCCTAATAGTAATTGTGCTACCACACTCTGAATCACATATTGAGTCAGTACAGTAAACAAAATGAGATATTCAATAAATGCATTAGGATATTAGAAGACTAGAAGCCACCAGAAAGAACAGGAGCATAGCGTAAGTGTTAATATAACATATTAGGAGGTACAGAAATTAACATAATAGGATCCTTTTTACAATATGCTTGGGAGGAAAGCGATGGCGAACCTAAACAGCATGGTAAAAAGTAGAGACATCACCATGCCAACAAAAGTCTGCATGGTCAAAGCAATGGTATTCCCAGTAGTCATGTATGGCTGTGAGAGTTGGACTATAAGGAAGGCCGGGCGCCGAAGAATAGATTCTTTTGAACTATGGTGCTGGAGAAGACTCTTGAGAGTCCCTTGGACTGCAAGAAGATCAAATCAGTCAATCCTAAAAGAAATCAACCCTGACTGTTCCCTGGGAGGCCAGATAATGAAACTGAAGCTCAGATACTTTGGCCACCAAATGAGAAGGGAGCACTCACTGGAGAAGACCCTGATGCTGGGAAAGATTGAAGGTCAAAGAAGACGGGGACGGCAAAGGATGAGATGGATGAGAGGCTTGAATGCTCAATATCAGCACCTTAAATTGGGTCCAGAACTGTGAGATGCCATTGAGTGTCACCCAATATTGCTGCTTGGTTCCTAGGCCTCTGGCCTATGGTGTGATAGAAGGTTCCATCTTGTCCCTCATGATTTTTAGCATCTGTGTGAAGCTGCTGGGAGAGGCTGTCCACAGATTTTGAGCTAAGTTGCCAGCAGTATGCAGACAATATATCCCTTTCCCTTTCGGAATTGTCTTCTAAAGAATTTTAGGGAAGTTACATTTTGTGTGGGCATACGTGTAAGGCAGGTGCCACATAATTTGTGGCACTGACTGATGCAAAACGTATCTGTTTGTCCCCTGTTTTGGTTATCTGCAGACTGTTATTTTAGAACTGGGAGCAGACTTTAATTTCTGGGCTTTAATGGGTTTGAGAGCCAGTTTGGTGTAGTGGCTAAGTGCGCAGAGTCTAATCTGGGAGAACCGGGTTTGATTCTCCACTCCTCCACTCCTCCACTTGCACCTGCTGATGTAACCTTAGGTCAGTCACAAGCTCTGGCACAGCTGTCCTTGAAAAAGAGCAGTTTGTGTCAGAGTTCTCTCAGCCCCACCCACCTCACAGGGTGTCTGTTGTGGGGAGGGGAAGGGAAAGGAGTTTGTAAGCCACTCTGAGACTCCAAGTGAAGGGTGGGATATAAATCCAATCTCTTCTTCTTATTATTATTCTGTAGTAAAGTTAGACTTATCCAGTTGTGTTGAAACATCTTGGGTCTTAAAATTTCAATAATCCTACATCAAATGTTTAAATATTGTTGGGAATTAAGAATAGTAGCTATTCATATACCTGTGTTAAATTGTGTGCTTTCTGTTGAATTGTATTTTTAATATAGAATATGCTTGCACATTCAGAGCAGAGCTTTCAAAATTTGCAGTATTTCACGTCACAAATTTTTGTCTTCCCTCAAGCTCTGTGTGAAGGTGACGGTAACATCTTTCATCTTTTGTATTGACACAGCCCTTTTAAAAGAGAGATGTCCAGATTGTACCTTTCTTTGATCTCTGTGATCCAAATGGTTATCCTTTGCCATTTGAGGATCTGCTAGACAATGTAGTCCATGTTAGCATCTTATTAATAGCCATATGTTTTGTTTCTGCTGAACTAGTGAAGTAGACACAAATGTACTTAGTTAATTTTTTGTATATAAAACTAATAGAGCAGGATATCTTTACTGTATCTGAACTTACTGCATGGTTGTAATAATAAATACTTAAGTACTGTCAAGTCACAGCTGACCTATGGAGACCTCTCAGGGATTTTCAAGGCAAGAGATGAGCAGAGCCTTGCCTTCCTCTTACATAGCAACCCTGGTCTACCATCCAAATATTAACCATTGCTGGCTCTGCTTACCTTCCAAGCTACTCTGTGTTATTCAGGCTGCTACTGCATAGTTAGCCTAAATAAACCTTTTCTTTTGATATACTGGTAATTGCCTGCTTTTTAGCTTTTGTTATACAGAACATCATTCAGTTCTGGAGCTGCTGTGGATTAAAGATAAAAGGTTCAGTCATTTATCATGTTTCTAGCTGGTAGATTAATGAAATGAAGTAATCCTTATTCTTCTCAACCCCCTTGTTATGGCCTCTGTCTGTATTTATTTTCAAACATCTGTCTCTAGGGAAACAACTAGGAATAAGGAAATTCCAAGATTGCACAGTAAGCTATTTAAGAACAGTAAGCTGTTCAAGAACATAAAATGAGCCCTGCTGGACTAGACCAATGGTCCATCTAATCCAGCATCCTGTCTCACACAATGGCCAACCAGTTCCACCGGAGGGCCAAGGCCTTCCCCTGGTGTTGCCGCATAGCTCTGGAATTCAGAGGTTTAGAACCTCCTCTGAATAGGAGGTTCCCCTCAGTCACCAAGGGTAGTAGTCATTGATAGACCTATTCTCCATGAATCTATCTAATCCCCTTTTAAAGCTGTTTGTTCCTGTGGCCATCACTACACCCTCTGGCAGTAAATCCCACATTTTAATCACTCTCTTTGCAAAGTAGTATTTCCTTTTGTCCATCTTAAACCCATCATCTTATTTAAAGAAGATGCCACTTTCTGTCTCCTGAAAGATACATTTCAGCACCAGTGAAAGTTGCTTGAGAATTGTGTGGTTCAATAGTACAGTGGAGCCAGCTATTTAAATGGCTTGCTAGTATGATAACAGAGCAGGAAAAATAGACACACAGCTGCACTTCTTTGTATTGAAATTATTGATACTTAAGCATTCTTTGTGTTTCAGCTGATCCAAGGGATGAGTTGTAGATCAAAGGAGATATTCATGCAAGAAATATAAAATAGCTTGTGGGAAATATTTTTTCCCAAGGAAGCCTCTAAATTCTCAGAGAACTTTAAAGCTGTGTGTCTTACTATTTCAGGTCTTACTGTTCCAGCTTTGCACTTTTGACATCTCCCTGTGTCCGCTAC